CAAAAGTGCCTCAGCCGCGGGCAGCCGCAGTGCTTCCCAATTACTATTTGCCGGCGTATAAGACGACCCGACATATAAGACCCCCCCAATTGGAGGCATGTTTTTCAGGGCAAAAAAGTCGTCTTATACGCCGGCAAATACAGTAGTTCAATAGGAGCCACAGATTGCCCACTCCTGCCTGAGAATTGATGGCAAATTAAGATGCCAAATTAACCAGCATAGACCCTCTCTGAATAACTCGGTGTTGGTAACAGCTGGAATAAATAAAGTCTAGGATGGTCTGCTGAAGATAAAGCAGATGTGGCAGTAATTAAAAGTATATGTAGATAGCTCTTAGGCTGAGATTTGGTGGCACTTTAAGTGGACTACCAACAATTAGTCTAACTCCCCCCCCCTCATTCTAACCACTTTCACTTTTTACCTTGATAGCTTCCCTGCTAATGCATTATCTACTCAGAATCAAGAATAGTAGAGTTATTTTTACCATCATGAACGAAGTGAGAAAATTAGGTTTTGAAAATGTTAACATGAGATGGAATTTAAAATAAGATTCTGAAACGGGAAGAACTACTAGAGGGAGAATTCATGGCATTGAACCCAAATCAAATGTTTTTCTCGGGTGAACACCCTTTTCCTATTGAAGCTCCACCATTTGAATCCAGGGAACCGTATTGTTTCATAAAGCAGCTTCAAGGGGTTGTTTCCTTAATCCTCATAAGAAGAAAGCACCATTTTGAAGTTCTACAGAACAGATTTTGCATATTATTCATAGAGATTGTTGGAAATACAAGATAAATCAAGATGCAAAAAACACATTACCTTTATAATATCTGGGTTATTGGCTATCTTTAACAGCTTGCAAGACTTGCCTAAGCCAATACCATGAATGGATGGAAGGTAGTCACAACCTGAAAGAATACACATGTAACGGAATTTTTCTTCTGTAAAGACATCCCCAAGCTGTTTGCACATTCCGAGGCGAGCTTGATCAATTTCTAAGCCATTTCCAAACTTGTCAATTTTAAGGAACACCTTGAAAGGCAAACAAAATCAAGAATGAATATGTATAGTCACGGAACATCCACCAGGTATATCAACAGCATCAAAATGATAGGTAGGATCGGGTGTTCAAACTTCTGCCTCTTTTCAATGTGCATGCAAAAAGGGAAGGGCTTTGGTTGCCCTAAAAACCCATCCATCACTTCTAAATACAGGACAGAGATGATGTACGAAATAGTGGCTATTGAACATTACTAATTTTATCTAGTATTTATCTAGTATCAATATACTCAACATTTATCTAAATTAAGGGTATGAGTGCAGCCACATACAGTAATCTTTTCTTTCTCTTTTTGCTACAGTTGAAAACCTAATCTCACTCACCTCATATGTAGTGAAATATTTCTTGAAAATCATTTTGTCAAATGCCTGCCAAGGGATATCGACAAATATCAACCATGCTTACACAACACTTTTATAGTGTTTTGAAAACTTTGCATATACTATACATAGTATACAATGCTGTGGGCGCCTCATACCGCAGATGGCAGAAGGAGGACTAAGAACAGAAATACACATTTCATGTGAATTGGTGGGTCACAGTTTGTACTGTTGGCACTGCACACTAGAAAAGCTATTGGCCTGTTTTTTATGTAAGGAAATATTAAGTTAATTGATGCAAGATTTTGGAGGATTTTACAGTTGGAATAAATAAAAAATAGAGTCCCATTGTATTTTAATTTTAAGTCTAATGAAACATTAATTACATAGCAATTAGTAGAACATTCTATTTTACATGCCCTTATCACAAATACTTCTAAGTTCAGGGCAGAAAGGATGTACAAAGTAGTGGCAAAGAGATGCACCATAAATCAAAAGTCCCCAGTTTTATTCTTACTTCTGCCATGAACTCCCTAAATGTTCTTAATAAATGATTTGTTTTGAACATAATAGTCACCTACCTTCTTGTAAGGATAACATCAAAACTGAATATTTCAAGCCCCACACATATATTTACAAGCACATGTTCATATGCAAACACACACAATTTTGATTTCTCTTTAGAAACATCAAGTTTTGGATCTAAGCATATGAAAGCAAATTCTCCCATATGTGGAAAAAAAGTGAAGTCTAAGCATCCATGTTCGTTTGTATAAATTGCATGCTCCCAATTTCTAAACCATGTTGCTGGCTCTTTAGGTTGGTTGTTCAAGTCTGCCTTAACTAATTGAAGATACAACATTTTGCTATATTTAAGGCTGACAAGTGAAGGGAATGCAAAGGCCAATGAGCAAGTGAAGACCCTGCACTGGACCAGATAGGACAAGGGAGTGCTTTTCCATGTGGACTACCTACCTTTTTGCATCCAAAAGCAAGGAGATCAGAATCCTCCGTAATTATAGCTTGAACCATGCCAGCTTTGTTCAGATAAGCTAACTGAGCATCAGCTTCATAAGGTGCAACAAGACAATCTATTCCTTGGGCTCGAGCAGCCTGCAAACCAATAAAAACAGTAACACAACATTAAAAACGCTCATCACAATACCAACACATTAACATATAAAACAACTTTGTAATAAATGAACAGTTCACCTGCTAGATGCAACTTGAATGTTGCAACTGGGATCCTGGAAAGCTAGTATTTGAGTTTAGGACAAAGATACTAGGTCTCCAGGACTCCAGGCACAATATTCAAACTGAATTTCCTTGGATAAATCACATGCTGAAGGTGCAACTTTCTATAATCTAATCTAATCTAATCTAATCTAATCTAATCTAATCTAATCTA